AGGGAGGTGATGTTTCCCTGTAGGCAGTCCTTCCTTCCGCCTGCGGCAGCAGAACCCATGGGCCTCCAGACCGTCGGTGACTGTTCCAGTATGTACAAACACGATTGCCATGTTCCACCTACTCCTCCACCAGAACTGCACCCAAACTATTGGAACCCAGATGTCAGGAAAAGAACATATCTCTGGTGGCTTGTCTACCTGTCTCCCTCGCTGCTGAGAAATAACTTGCAGCAGCCAGTTACGCTAACAATAAACACAGGAATTTACTTCAGTGGGAGTGAACTTGCTTGACTGTTGACAAAAATCTCAGGTGATGCAATCTGCACTGGGCTCGCTGCTTGCCCAGGTGGCAGCTGGCTGCTGCTGTGCTTCTTCCTTCTTGGGACAGGAGTGAGGGACAAAGACCCCAGGCTGATGAAAGTGTCCCTGTCCCTGGGCCCAGAGGTAAGTCCCAGTGTCCTGTGAAAGGCCGAGTCTTGACTCTTGTCGTTGGCACACACTTTGAAGGGGAGAGAATGCTGTTAAGAGTGGCTATGAGGAAGGTCTGTCTTCTTCCTCCCTGCTCAGGCAGTTAGCAAAGACCAGGCAGGGGCTGGCAGCTGCCTCCTGTTCCTGGCCCCACTTCCGGATGAGATGGGGGATGAGGTAACCTCTACCCCATTCACACCAAAGCACCCGGGCACAGGTCTGCACAGCTGTGACATGCAGGCTGGTAGGGGGACACTTAGGGCAGGGGCAGGAGACCCCTGGCTTCAGTGTCCAGCTGCCGCCGGCAGCCTACCCACGGGGCAGCCTGAAGGGAGATGAAGGTAGGCAGGCTTCGGCAGAGGGCACTCCAGCCCTAGGAATCTGCACGCAGCCAACCGCACACATGTGCTCCGTGGTTTCCCAGGGAAGCGGAGATCATGAATCTCGGTAACTCGAGCCCAGGGCCTCATCACTCACAGTGATTGCGGGGGGACTGAGAGCTGGAGTGGATGAGTCTAACAAAACACGCACACGGGGGACTCGTCCAAATGAGCCTGCTTGGCCACCACTGGGGACCCCCTCTCACCCCCGCAGAAGCCAGGGAGGGGTGTGGGAGTGGCCCAGAAGGGGCCAGCAGCCTAAGGTTTCTTCTCCCCCTGCCCCCATCTGTGAGCCGGTGGGAGACATGAATCTGGCTGGCAGCGACTGGGGCCAGCTCAGCCGTTTTTCGGGGATGTTAATGAAATGCGGGAGCACTTGTCCTTTCAGACAGCGGCCCCTTTTATTTTGGAATGAAAAGCTGCATTAGTCTGAATGAGGTTTGGAGGCCTCATAAATCCAGTGCTGGCTGCCTCGTTGGGGAGTGAGGAGCCCAGGCCTGGCTGATGGGTAGACTTGTTTACCAACAATTTGAAAAGCCAGGATTGGTGGCTCCCAGTCCCCGGAGATGCAGCTTGAGATTGTGCCAGTTCCGGTGCCTGCTGGTGGCAGGACAGCCTGGACAGGTGCAGGAGACAGGGAGAGAGGGCTGCAGGTTTCTGGGGACTGTGGAGCTCCCCAGTTTGCTCTAGTAAAGGACCCAAATCCTATCTCCTTGAGCCTTTCCACAAGCAGCCAGAAGCCCCAGTGGGCCTCCAGCCAAGGTGACAGGTGACAGGGATCTTCTTCAAGAACCTGTCCCCTGCCTCAGCCCATGTAAGAAAGGACAAGGGTCAAGCCTGCACACTTAGGAGGCGACAGGCCTGTATGCCTGGTAACGATGGCCAATAAATATTAAAGGAAGGACGGAAGAAAGGAAGAGAAAGAAGGAGGGAGAGGTAAGGTCAGATACTAGCTGGGTGACTTTGGATTCTTAATCTCTCTGAGGCTCAGTCTTCATCTGTAAAATGCAAAAATCATACAAATCCTATCATAGCCAGTTGTGGACAGGGTTAGATGAAGTGATGCATGTCAGGTGCATTGAGTATATTGTCCAGAACATAGAAAACATGTATTAAATACTCGCGGTCATTATTATCATTGCTGTTGTTTTGTTATAATGCTTCCCACCCTCCACCACTCTGGGAGGAGCCGGCTGCAGTCAGTTTGGGGAGACCTTTGTGTTACAAAATGGTTTGCAGCTAGGACCAGAAGAAGGCCCAGTCCTGGGCTGGAGGCAGCTAGTCTCCTTCTGACCCAGGGCTCCCGCTAGCTGCCAGGCCCAGTGACTGAACCCACAGCCCCTGCGTCGGGAAGCTGTTTCCCACGGCAGCCAATAGACATGGCAGCAGAGGACAGTCGCCCTCCGCTGTGCCGCTGGCAAACTCTCGCCCACTCTGAAATGTGCAAGAGCAAGGCCCAGCCTGTGTGGCTTCCCTGGGGGTGGCCAGGGGGCCCCAGGTGACAGGGCCTCAGATTCTCCCTCTGCCTTTATCTTTCCACCTCTCTAGTACCAGTGTCATGCTGTGCTGACTTTCTTGGCTGTTCCTCCTCCTCCTGCTCCCCACCCTTCATCTCTCCCTCCCACTGGCCTTTCCCAGAGTTCTGGTCTGGGTGGCAGATCTGTCCCTTCCCAGGTGTCACACCTCCACCCTTCTGCTTTTTCAGTTTCTCAGCCAGGCCACTGTTCCTTGCACCCTGCCCCCCTCATAGCAAGAGGCTGCCTGCAGGATAATCAAAACAGAGCTAGCATCCAGGCTCCTCCCCTCCCCCATCTCCTAACCATCCTTGGGTACTGCTGGTGATGCCCTTTTAGCCCTGCATCCTTTGCCTTGAGTTCAGGTCCTACCAATCTCCTTTCCACACCTCCCTTGCCAATCAGGGCACTGGGATTTTTTTCTTAAGAACTTCCTTAGAGCCTGGACTTTTGCATTCCTTGGAGCAACTAAACCAGCTGTGGAAGCTGGTAGGTGATGGAGATGAGATATCCAGTCCTGAATAAAGAGGCTCCTCCAGCTTCATCCTGGAGGGTGGGGCCTTCTGCTCCTGGCTTGTGCTTCCCGCTTGCTGATGCCCACAGGGGGCAGTTACTCTCTATCAAGAGGTGGCAGCTGCTGTGTCTCTGGCTCTGGTCTGAATGCCCTTCCCTCTGGTCTCTTGGGTAATATTTTCCAGTGGCTGCTTGGGAAACCAACCGCTGCTGCTCAAGGGTGAGGAAGGCTCAAGTCTGGCAAAGAGAGACCACAGGTAACCTCCCTTTGCTGATGGGTCTTTGAAGATGGCCCCAAGACTGGCACACCTTTTTCTCTTCCCAGGAGCAGAGCCCTGGGACCCTCTTCTCCCACAGCCACAGTTCCCGCCACTTCAGGTGGGAGGGAGCCCCCTCCTAACTGCAGGATTGGCCACACTGCAGTATTCGCATCCCCACACAATGCCATGGTCCCCTATGCCCAGACAAGGAGGGAAAGAAAAGACGGGGAAATTAATAGGCCAGATAGAGCTCCACTCATAGTCTATTTGTAAGAAAATTAAAGATTTGCTTTTCCGATGTTGGGGGCCATGCTCTTACCAGACAGCTGGCAAATGGGAGAGATTGGGAATGATGGAATAGATCAAATTATTTAAATGAGAAAAATAAATTCACACACAGCCTAGCTGCTGCCTGTGACAGACCCGTTTATTTATCTACTGTATCAGCACCGCTTTGTCTCTGTCAAAAAGGTCATTAAACTCGCCTAACTGCGTAATTCGCAGCCTCCTGCTCGAGACTCGCTCCACAGCCCTTCCCTTCCCTTGACACCCAGCTCCACTTGAAAAAAAATTATTATTGCTAATAAACAAGTATTTTTTTAACCCTTTCTAGCTTGCTCCCACACGGGTCCTGCTCCATCCCACAGAAAATTACAGTTTCTCTTTATTTTTTTCTCTGGAGGAATGGGGGAAGGGGCCAGCCACTCCTGCGTTGCTGGAAGAGAGAGATGGGAAGGAGCAGGGTGCATCTCAGCTGCCCCTGTTGATAAGGATTTAGCCGTCTTTCTCCGAAGTCCCTGTCCTAGCAATGCGCGGTCAAGTCCTGCCTTCCACAGCAGAGTCTGGCCTGGGCTCGCACGCCCCTACCAGCTCCTGCCGCTCCCCTAGCTTAGGCAATTCTCTTTGAATTCTGTCTCCCGAGCCCCAGCCCCAATTCTGATTCCATGAGGGATGGGGTTAGGGAGGGAAGCCGGTTCCCGGGTCAGTCTCCGGCCGCCGCCGTCCAGCCGGCCTCAGCGGCGCGCGAGTTGGAAGGCGAGACTCCGCAGACGGCGGGCTCCGGGTCCCTCCGCTCCCGGCGGGCGCGTCTCCTCCAGCCGGTCGGGCGGCTAGGCTGCCGCCTTCTCCCAGCTCCCGGTGCCAGCTCCCGTGCTCCACTCCCGGCTCCCAGGCTCCGTGCCCTCTCAGTTGAAGGACCTGGGGGCAGCAGGGCGGATGGGGACGTCTGGGAATCGAGGAGAGTCCTCGTTCTCCCGGAGTAGCCCCAAACCGCGTTCAGGGTCTCCTTCCCCGCCCCCTGCTCAGGTGTGAGCGCGCAAGTGTAGCCTCGGCGGGTGTGAGTGTGAAGTGTGTGTGCGCGGGGGAGTGCGCGGAGGGAGCGGGGGCGGCGGGCGGCGCGGGAGGCGGGAGGCAGGGCGCGGGGGAGGGGGCTGGGAGGGAGAGTGTGCGCGCGTGCAACTCCACTCCGGGGCTTTGTGAGAGCCGGGGCGATAGCATCGGCGGAGGCTGGAGGAGGAGCGGCCGGAGACGCGTGCAGCCCGCCCGCCAGCGCCCGGCAGCTTGGGCAGGTGGGAGCCCGCGCGGGAGCCGAGCCGACGAGAGCGGGAGCCGAGTCCGAACGGAGCTCGGGAAGAACACAGAAGCCTCGCTAGCGAGCGGCCCGTGGGCGGCAGCCGGGCGGGGCGGGCGCCGGCGGGGCGGCCCCCCAGTAAGATGTGCGCGGCGCCGCGGGGCGCCCCCCACTCGCAGCGGCGCTCGGGAGCCGGGCAGCTGGGCCAGGCGGCGCCTCGGGGGCTGCTGCGCGCCCGCGCCTAGAGCTGCCGCCCCAGGGAGCCCGCCACGGCCGCGCCCCGGGCACGCTCGGCGGCGCCCAACGATGACCGCTCCCTGGCGGCGCCTCCGGAGACTGGTTTGGGAATACTGGGCCGGGCTCCTCGTGTGCGCCTTCTGGATCCCGGACTCGCGCGGGATGCCCCACGTCATCCGGATCGGTAAGAGCTCCCGGGAGCCTGGGGTCTCCGTGCGCCCGGGCGGGGGCGGGAATGGGGCCTCTGGACGCGACCTCAAGAGATTTTACCAATCTTTCCGGGCTGTTGGGGCCGGGTGACCACCAGGAGCTCTTTCTGGTGAGGACAAAGTTCCAAAGCCGGGGTCACAGGCCTTACTTAATGGGGAGGAGGCAGCCCCGCAGCGGCGGGCGAGGGCGAGGGGCCCTTGGTGCGCTCCTGGGAGGCCAGAGCTATCGGAGTGTAACGAAGCGTTCCAGCACCAACCTGAGTAGCGGGCGCATTTCCCGGCAACTGCCAGCTTGACCGGCCGCAGACCGAGTTCTGGAACCTGGCTTCGCGGAGCGGGAACCCTGGGGAAGGCGCCAACTTCTCTTCCCTCCTCCTCTCAGTGGACCCCTCGCCCCCACCTAGGGCATGGCTCTAGCGGCCGCGGCGGGCACGCAGGGTACGGCTTCGCATGTCGGTGGCAGTCAGTCTCCTCTCCGGCGGCCGCCCTTAGCCTCCTTGGTGGCCCGCATTCAGCCCAGTGGCGTGGGGCAGAGAAGCAGCAGACCTAGTGGTGGCTCCAGCCGCCCCTCGCGGCGGGCGCAGGCCTCTCCCTGGCCTGGGGGCAGCGCAGGCGGGGGAAGGGAGCAATCGAGCCTGCCCCACGCAGCTAGGGAAGGTGGTGAGAGGGACGAGAGTGGTTTTTAAAGTTAGCGGAAATCCCTCCGCAGCTGGCGGCCGCTGGCGGGGCTGCGCGTAGTTTTCTGCGGCTCTGGCGTCCCCGCATCTCTTCTCGCCAGACTCTCACTCCGGGCTTTAACTTTGTTGTGGTCGCCCCAAACACCCAGGAGGCAGCGCTCTGGGCTGTGCGTAGGGGGGTGGGGGCTGTGTGTCCCAGGCACACCACCGCCAGGGCTGGGCCCAGCCTGGCCACGCGGGAGCCTCCGTCACTCAGGCCCTACACACGCCGCCAGGCCGGAGACCCGGGCCGCCTGGGTTCGCGAGGCGCCACCACCAAGGTCTGGCACAAGGCGGGCTCTGCTGAGCCAGAGCTACCTTCCTCTAGGTGTGGCCCCTGGGTTGCCAGAGGCTGCAGGGGACCAATGTCAGGTTTGGTTTCGTACTTGAGGTTTTCTAGGAAGTGATCAGATCCTGGGAATCTGTCTCCTCCGTAGCTCTCTCATGGATCTCAGTCCCTCTTGAACTGGACGTCTGGATGGTGGTTGATGTACAGTCCTTAGCGTTGCTCAGGCCGAGGTCTTTCATTCCATACCCCTGGATTCTGGCAGGTGCACACCGGGAGGCAGAGGAGTTTAGTTACTGGACTCTGGGGACAGCCCTCACGGTCAGGCTTAACCCTTTGCAGTCCTGGGTGTTCCTGGCAAGCCAAAAATATCTAATATCTCTGCCCCCATTCCAGAGGCAAGCAGCCCTTTAGTAGTGGGCAACCCTTCCTTTACTCCCACCTTCCTTCCCTCTGTGTTTTGGGAGCCTGCATGGTAGGTGCCCTTGGGAGAAAAGGGGGAGAAGAAAGGCTATGTGCTCAGCTCATGCATTGCAGGATCCTCTTCCACGGTTCCTCCTCTGCAGGGGTGGGATGGGCATGCTTCCCGCCCAGCCTCAAGGAGCAGGTGAAGCCAGCCCCAGAAGAACAAGCCGAAGGGACAGGGTGATGTACCCTCACTTGCCCCACACACTGTGAAATTGACGTGCACAGGGGGTCTCCTCACTGCCCTGACGGAACCTCAAGCCTGCAGGCCCTTTCTTGGGTTTAGCGCCCTTTCTTGGGTTCAGCGTCCTTTCTTGGGTTCAGCGTGTAATAATGCAATTAAAGATGGCAAAGCCCTCTTCTCTTCTAATCTTCTTTGTATTAAACCCAAGATTAATTAGCGTGTCGGCCCAGGCCATTTATATCCGAAAGCCTGGCCCCATTTGATTTTCAGCCGGAGGACTGGGGTGCTGTGCAGATGCCAAACGTGACCACCGGAGCTGCGCCAGCTTGGTAGGAGGATGGGAAGGCTCTGAGGCTTCTGGGCTTCTCTGGAGCTTCCTGGGGAGTTAACTTCCATCCTTCTGATCCCAGGCTCAAGCCTCAGCCGGGGTCAGGGAACTACAGTGGACATGGCACAGAACGAGAAAGATTCTCTTACTGAAACCCAAACATACGGCCTTGGCTGGGCCCGATGCCATCTCCGTTTTCTCATACCTCCCCACGCCTTCGATCTCAGGGCTCTGGCTGGGGCTGCAGGCACTGAGGCCCCATACACTGGGTTCGGGAGTGTGCTGTGTGTTTGCGGTTCCCAGGACTGGTGCCTGAGCCGGCTGTGCTTGGAGCCGAATCCTTCTCTGGCAGGCAGGTGTGCAGAGCACCAGTCAGGGAGAGGGTTTTCCTGCAGGTGTGCAGAGGGCTCTGTGGGCTGGGGAGCAGCATACGCCCCCTCTCTTTGTGCCTTTTTTGGGGGCTGAAATTTCCTCTTAGACAAGGAGATGGATAGCTCAGCAGTGTGACAGAGTGTTCAAACAATCCGTCTTGAATAGATGAATTGCATTGCTCTGTCTTTTTGTAATTGTGTCTATCAGAGGGAGAGGTCAAGGCATTGATTGCTTGGATGGTTTGCAAGTAACAAAGGAGAGTGAGGGAGAGAGAGTAATTGGATTGTAGTCTGCAGGGGGGGGTGCTCATTGATTATTTTATTTGAATATGTGGAAGGTGTATTCTGCGTGTGATTATCAGGTGTTGCTCATTGAAGGTTTTCAAGGCATATTTTGTGGTATTTTATTATTATTATTGTAATCACTGTTATTGTTCAGATGGATCCTAGTCTTAACTCATGGAAAGCAGTTTAATGCATGGGTCTTCTCAGCCGAATGAGCTTCAGTGACCTCATGTGGGGACCTGGATTTCCTGGTTACATGACTCAGAAGTAGAGAGGCCTTAGGCTGGAAGCCAGGAGCCTGGGTTTTCCGATCTATCGTCTACCAGTTTACTGGACCGCCGTGTTCAAACCTTACTCCCCCACCCCTTGAGCTTGTTTCCCTATCTGAAAATTGTTGGGTTGGCCGTGATGGTTGGGGCTATTCTGAGGCGTCAGAGTTTCCTGTAGTGCAGGCCGGTGGGGACCGGCAGCACCGTTGTAGATTCATGGTTAGATTCCTTGGGTTTCATGTTACATATATACTGTAGGATCAAGGGCCAGCCTGGAATTTGAAAAGGGAACCAGACAGCGGTGGCGGCAGCTGGGGAGCTCGAATGGATGGTGGTGATCTCTAGCCAACCAGGGGTGAGGCTCAGAGCCAAATGACTGCAGAGACATAAAGCAGGTGTGTGTTTGTGTGTGTGTGTGTGGGGGGGGGGGGGTTGGAACGAAGGGCTGGCTCAGCTCTGGACTCTCTGAGCATCTACAGACAAAGCAGATCAGATCGGAGCGATGAGGCCCTGAGCCTAGGCTGGGCTGGCTCAGCAGGCAACTGAAGTCTGTCCCAGGGGAGTGAGGTCCCCCTGCCCCCAGAGTTCCCAAACCAACCCACCTGCATCCCTCCCATGAGTTCACCCCAGCGGTCCTGAACGTTTGTCTCCTGAGTTTGGGAGCCGCTTCGTATAAAACAATGAGAATTTCTCGCAGTGACTGGTGATGCGCTGAAACATCACCACCGCTTTGTAGGAGCAGACAGGAGCTGAATGAAGATCAATAGGGTTTTCCCCCCTGGAAGTAAATAGCTTCAGACAAGACCTGGGAGTGGCCCGAGGGGCCTTAGAAAACATTAACTTGAGGAATTTCTGCCTCCACTTTCTAGCCCAGCCGCTCCTGTCAGCCCCAGCTTCCCTCCCTGAGCGGGAGTTTAATTCCTTCCTGATGCCTGCCTTGCACTGCGCTAAATAGTCTTTTGACGTCAGGCTGTTCTGGGGTTTTTCAAGATGGTTTATGCAGAGTGAGCCAGGCACCTTGTCCCCACTAGGCCCTTCCGCTTGCATCCCCCTGCCTGGACCACGACAGCTAATTTCATTTGAAAGGACTTTTCAGGGGTCACTCTTCATTCCCTACCCCCTAAGGCTGCTTAGCTGCTTTTAGGATCCTTTGTGGGGCCCATGAGGCTCACTGAGTCACTGCGTTCCCATGAGCACTCTCTGTCCCTGTCCCAGGGAACTAAGTCCACCCCATGGGGGAGGAGGCACAGATGCCCCTGTGGGCACTAGAACACCTCTCCTCTTTGGAGAGGTGCAAGGCTGTGTGCAGAAGAGGCTGCAGGGCTGCTTGGGGTGCTTTTGTACGGGGAGACGTGGTTGTGCTCAACACCTGAGGTCAGGCCTCCTCCACCCTGTAACAAATGGCTGCTGTGCCTCTGCCTCCCACGATTTTGGCCCGAGCCTCACTTTGCTTGCTCAGGACCCTCCAGAGGGAACAGAGAAAGCTGCTGCTCCACTTGGCTGCCCGGAGCAACCCAGGTTCTACCTGGCAACAGAGAGGACTGAAGCCCAGGATCAGGGCTCTTCCTCTCCGGCCAGCACTCAACAGGACCGGCTTGTCTTCCAGAGGCTGGTGTGATGGGGCTGGAGCTTGGGCTGGGCAGATGGGCCGAGGGCCTGAGTGATGCCGATGGGGGCCTTGTGTGAGCTTGTTGGCTTGAGTTGCTCTTCTCCCAGGTGCCGATCCCCAGCAGCAGCACCAGGGGGCAGTGTGCCTGTGCCGAGGTGGCCTTGTCGGCCAAGTCTCCTGCCTGGGACTCCACCTGGGTCTGGAACACTATCAAACTAATAAAACAACAAAAAAACAACACACCGGCCCCGATTTATTTGAGCACTTATTCACTGCCAGGCACTGTGCTAAATCTTTTCACACAATGACTGGTAATGTGGGTGAATAATACATGCTCAATAAATGTAGCTGTTGCATTTTATCCATCATCTTATTTCGTCTTGGCCACCCTGCTGGCATTATTCCCATTCTGCAGATGAGGGAACTAAACTTGGTGAAGTCACTTGCTCAAGAACACAGCCA